GGTTCTTTCCTTAGCTTACTATAGAAATAAAAAGCTGGGAATCTGTTGCAGACAGAAAAATTTCTTTGTGAAGGGACCAAGGAAGGGAGAGGGAAGGGGGAAGCACCTCTGGAGAGAAAGCCAGGAGGTTGGGTGCCTCTGGAAAGGGGAAGGAGAGAGAGGATCTCAAAACAAAAAAAAACCCTTTGGCTTCTGCCCCTTAGCAGTTTTTGTTTTCTCTCACTGCCAACCAGCTGTGTCTCAAGGCAGGAAATGCAGCACCTGTGTTTGAGTTTTGTTGAAAGCATGGAGCAGTGGGAAGAGCTCAGTCCAATCTCTCCATGGCTCAATGCACAAAAGCCTCAAGACACCCACTCTCTGGCCCAGCAGCAGGTGGACGCACAGAATTCTAGCCAGAGAATCCCATTTCCTAAGGGCCTCTGTGAAAGACACAGCCCTGATATATGGGTCATGAGATAGCGAGGCGGAAGGAGAGAGCCAGTGTTGCAGGCAGAGGAAGGAGCTGTTGAGTTAGTGGGGCCAAAGTCTGCAAATGAAGGCACAAGCCTGATGGCAGGCTAAGGCGATGCCCTTGCTCCCACAGGAAGTGAGGCTTAATTGCTAAGCTAGAAACATAATATGATGAGCCCAAACTGCAAACACGGGGCATGGTCTGGTTGAAGCAGACATTATTAAGGTTCCTGTATAGATTGAACTGTGACTTTTGAAACTCCATTTTATACCATAAACAAACTCTTAACCACTTTCTAGGTTATTCCTTCATTGCCTTCACTGAACTTGGTTAGAGTTGTATCCTTTGAAGTTGGGCAGAGAAGAATGAAGCAAAGAATGAGATTTTGGAGAAGGAAAAAACCAGAGGTATCATCCCATGTAGCTTGGAAACGCTGTGTTCTGTTCTCTGAGTCTGCTGCGACAGAATGGTTCTGAAGGCAGGTGCTGTGCCTTACCGACACTGCTTTTCCTGGCACTCAGCCTGGTGAGCCCATCACCTACCAGACCAATAAGCTGAATGACTCTCATGAAATGCCAATACCAGGTCTACAAATAAAAGTCCACTTCTTTTAATTTTTATTTATTTACTTGAAAATGTTGGGGCCGGTGTTGTGATGTAGGTAAAGCCGCTACCTGCAGTACCAGCATCTTGCACAGGTGGAACTTAAAAGGTAGGATTACAGAGAGCTCTTCCATCCTCTGGTTTACTTCCCAAACAGCAACAGCATCCAGATTTTGGCCACATCAAAGCCAGGAGCCAGGAATTCCATCCAGGTCTTCCGTGTGAGTGGCAGGGATCCAAGCACTTGGGCCACCTTTTGCTGCTTCCGAAATGCATTAACAAAGAGCTGGCTGGATTGGAAGTGGAGCACCCCAGGACCCTGGCATCGCAGGTGGTGGTCCCAACCTGCCCACTGCGGCACAATGCATTCCCCCAGTGAGCTAAATATTAAGAAAAGTAGGACTAGAGAGATAGAGATGTTAGGTGGGGGGGAAAAAAAGTGGGAGAGAAATCTTAGGGAGAAATGATTTTTTTCATACAGTAGAGTTCGGGTAAAAAATAAACCTAAGTGTAAATGATTGGCATGGTAAGACTCCCACGTTCACCTCAGCCTGTGTAGATTGGAAAGAAATCGGGTAAGAGATTATTTTTATTTGAAAGGCAGGGAAAGGAGGGGGAGAAACAGATCACCCTTCAAATACTTGCCACAGTCAGAGCTGGGTCAGCTGATGGCTAGTAACCAGAAACTCCACTGGGATCTGCCATGCGGGTGACAGGGACCCAGACACTTGGGTGAACACCTGCCATTCTCACAGTGTGTATTAGCAGAAGCCGGATCTAAAGTGGAAGCAGGACTTGGTCCCAAGCAGCCACTTTAACCTGCTCTGCTCCCACAGCCACCCTGTTTTCTTCTAGAATCTGACTTTAGGGGAAAAAAAATTAATTCAATGGTTGAGGCATCAGAAACTTGGGAGGGTAAAAGATTGGTTGCCTGGTAATGATAAAATTCTCTGTGTATCATACATGTAACCTATGTGTTGTGATAGATACCTTGGGAATTCAGACTAAATCCTATTTCTGGTAAACATGATAATGGTAATCAAAGATGCAGAATAACATCAGAAGGCATGTATAAACAATCTAATAAGCATGGGTTTATTCTTTTAAAAACAGCATAATGACTGTTTAGGATGCTCTTAGGGTGCTGTGTGCTGTTGTCAACATGTCAGAAATGCAGTGTGACAAGTTATATCAAATGGTTTGCAGTACACACATTTTGCAGTATGACAAACAAGAAATTAAGTTGGATTTCAGGTAAGCAGAAGAAAATAATCCTAATATTCAGTTTAAAATGGATATTGAGAGGTTTAAAGTATAATAGTTTTGGACATAAGTTAAAAAGTACATAAGTGCAGTTCAAAAAGGGTGAAAATGGAATTAAAAATATTAAGCTTGGGGCCAACTATGATATAGCAGATAAAGCTGTCTCCTTTGGTGCCAACATCCCATAAAAGTGTCCGGTTTGAGTCCTGGCTGCTCTACTTGTGATCCAGCTCCCTGCTCACGCATCTGGGAAAGCAGAGGAAGATGGGCCCAAGGGCTCGAGCCACTACGCTCTCTCACGGGAAACCTAGGTGAGACAGAGATGAAGCTCCCAGCTTGGAGCCCAATTCTGGCATCTGGGCTGGGTGAACCGAAGATGGAAGATTCTCTCTCTGTAACACACACACACACACACTCTCTCTCTCTCTTTCTTCTCTCTCACGGCTTCGAAGTTAAAATGCTGCTTGGGAGTCTGCATTCCATACTGGTTCCTGTGAAGCAATGGGTGATGACTCAAGCCCCCCCCCCCTTTGTCCCGGCCCACTCTCAGCTGTTGCTGGCACTAGCTGAGTGACACAGTAGTGGGGAATGCCTCCCACCTCTCTCTGCCTTTATAAACAAAATACGAGCAAAAAAAAAAAAAGCATAGCTTTTTCTAATACACATTTTCCATAGAAATTTTCTGCTTATTCAAGTCGTTGAGTACACCTGGCCTTACACTCCCTCACTGGAGTGTGGTCAGCGGCAGACACTAAGTGTTTCAATCAGTGATGCATTGATACTGGCCTGCCTGAAGACCATCCCAGTTCAAGAAACCATCTTTAAAATGCCTTTCCTTCCAGCTCCCAGAACCTGCCGGCTCCTGACCACCGCCAGCAGCTAATTCTCCGCCTGACTTTCGCCCTTCTGACTTCCTGCCTTCCAGCTTTGATGTCATCCCCCAGGGAATTCTAATGCTGTCACTCCCTTAGCTCTAAAGCCTTGTGAGTTTTCCAGCAGTTTTAGCATCCAAGGCCTTATCCCCACATCTCGCCATCCCATCTGACCCCATTTCTACTTGTTCACCGTTCTCTATTCTAGGAGCCGTCTGCCCACCACATTTCACATTTCTAACCCTTGTGGGCTTTCCCAAGACGGGGTTCTTACCTGCACCCCTGACCCCGCCTTTCTTGCTGTCCCACCGGGGACTGCCACTCCTGCCTGTGTCACATCCGCCACCTGCTCACCGTCATCACAGCGGGAGCCACCCGAGGCCAAGGCTGACTGTTTCTCCTCCTGGCCAGGGGGAGGAGGAACCTTACCTTTCCTTGGAAACGAACATCTTTCTCACAGTCAGGGAGCCGCTCACACTCTTCCATCAGCGACCTTCGCCTTGCCTGAAAGAACTTCCTGGATTGCCAAGGATGAGTTCAGGGCTCTTAACGGTTCTTTCAACAAGTCAGGCCTGTCACCTTGTGGTGCAGATTCAAATTCTCCATTTAGCCAACTTTTGGTCCTGCGCAACCTCGCAGTTCCTAGGATTGATTAGTGTTTATGTCCAAGGCGAAAATACCTGCGCTCCCAGAACACCGACTACCAGCGTGTGAAGAACCACACAGTGTTTTGAACTTGTGGGGGGCTGCCTTTCCTCCGCAGCTGTCAGTTTACCCAGCACACACGGAGGGGAGGGACCCACTTCCAATCCCCACCGCCCGCGGCCTCCCGGCACGTGGCGCTCCGGACGTCAACCGTCACCCAGCACTGTAATTTACTCGTTCATCACTTGAGCGGAACGGTGCCGGGCGCACGGCGGTCACTTGGCCGTTTCCCGTTCGCTTCTGTGCCAGCAGGATGTCCGGGGTCGGGGGGGGCGGGTAGTGCGGATGGGCTCGGTCACCGCCGCCTAAGACCCCCGCCAGGGCACCGGGCGCCACGTCCCGCTCTGGGGGCGCCGCGAGACGGGGAGACGGGGGAAGCGGAGCGGCGGTGGCGCGTGCCTCAGCCCCTCAGCCCTTCTCAGCCCGTCCCCGCCTCAGCCTCCCTCAGCCCGTCTCAGCCTCCCTAGGCCCTCTCGGCCTCCCTCAGCCTCCCTCAGACCCATTCAACCCCCCTAAGCCCGCCTCAGCCTCCCTCAGCCCCCCTCAGCCCTCCTCAGCCCTCCTCAGCCTCCCTCAGCCCCCCTCAGCCCGTCTCAGCCTCCCTCAGCCCCCTCAGCCTCCCTCAGCCTCCCTCAGCCCCGCTCAGCCTCCCTCAGCCCTCCTCAGCCCGTCTCAGCCCCCCTCAGCCTCCCTCAGCCTCCCTCAGCCCCCCTAAGCCCCCCCAGCCTCCCTCAGCCTCCCTCAGCCTCCCTCAGCCCCCCTAAGCCTCCCTCAGCCCCCCTAAGCCCCCTCAGCCCCGCTCAGCCTCCCTCAGCCCTCCTCAGCCCGTCTCAGCCTCCCTCAGCCTCCCTCAGCCCTCCTCAGCCTCCCTCAGCCTCCCTCAGCCCCCCTCAGCCCGTCTCAGCCTCCCTCAGCCCTCCTCAGCCCGTCTCAGCCCCCCTCAGCCTCCCTCAGCCCCCTCAGCCTTCCTCAGCCTCGGCGTCCGGCGCGGCCGGATGCGCTCGGGGCGGCCCCTCCAGGAGCGCCGGTGGAGGCGGGGCGCGGCGCGCGGCGAGGGCGGGGCGCACGGCGGCCGCCGCGGCCTGTAGCGCCGTCCCCGGCAGACTCCGGCGGGCCGAGCGAGGCGCCGCAGCCGCCGCCGCTGTGGGCTAGGCGCGCTCGGGCGTTTCGGGGCTGCGCTGGGTGTGTGTGTGTGTGTGGTGGTAGGGGACGAGGGCGGGAGTCCTCCCGCTCGCCCGGGGTCGGGGAGCCCCCCGTGATCATGTCGCTGTGGCAGCGCCTGGCCCAGCTGGCCTGCCGCCTGCAGGAGCCGCAGAAAGTGGCCCGTTTCCAGCGGCTGTGCGGGGTGGAAGCGCCGCCGAGCCGCTCCCCGGAGGCGCGGGAGGATGAGGACGCGGAGGCGCCCCTCGCCGCAGACCAGCTCGGGCGGCGGGGACGGCAGTCGGCGGCTCCGGGAGGTCCCCAGCCGCCCGGGGGCGAGCGCAATCAGTGCCGTGCCAAGGCGGACGGAGGCGGCGGCGGCGCCCCCAACGGCGTGCGCAACGGGCTGGCGGCCGAGCGGGGCCCGGCGGGGGCTGCACCGCGGCGCGCCGGTTCCCTGCGCCGCAACTCGCTCACGGGGGAGGAGGGCGAGCTGGTCCGCGTGAGCAACTGGCCGCTCTACTACCTGTTCTGGTTCGGCACGGAGCTGGGCAACGAGCTCTTCTACATCCTCTTCTTCCCCTTCTGGATCTGGAACCTGGACCCGCTGGTGGGCCGGCGGCTGGTGATCATCTGGGTGCTGGTCATGTACCTGGGCCAGTGTACCAAGGACATCATCCGCTGGCCGCGGCCCGCCTCGCCGCCCGTGGTCAAGTTGGAGGTCTTCTACAACTCCGAGTACAGCATGCCCTCCACGCACGCCATGTCCGGCACCGCCATCCCCATCGCCATGGTGCTGCTCACCTACGGCCGCTGGCAGGTAACCGCTCCTCTCCGGCCCCGGCCCGGCCCCTTGGGCGGCCAGGACTTGGAGTCCTCAATTAATGCTTTCAGTTAACCGGGCCGTTCCTCTCCGCCCTCCCCTGTCTCTCTGCCTACACACACACACACACACACACACGTTTTCACAGCGTCCGAAAACAGGCCTTTTCTGGAGGTTAGATGCATAAATAAGACACGTTCTATAATCTAGGGAAACCTAAGACTTAGACATGAGATGGTGCCTTTCTTGGAACCACTGGGCGTCAGTTGACTTTTTTTTTTTAATAAATTTTATCCGTTGACTTTTTGAACTCGTTAATTCTTTCGGCCTTGCAGAGTGAAAGTGAAGTTTCTGGACAGGGAGTCCCTGGCTGGCCAGCAGCCAAGCCTCGCTGTGATAGGCGCTGGTTTTCTCTCCTTCCCTCCAACCCCTCCTGCCCCGAACGGATGCAGCTTGAGACCGGAGGGGACAGGTGGTCACGGCACCCAGGTGTGGGACCCCGAGCGGGCAGAGAAGCAGTGGGCTGGCAAGGACAGCCGCCCCGCGGGGGAGTGCCAGCAGGGGGGTGTGGTTGCTAACTTACTGGTAGCATCACGTGTCGTTGTCTTCCGGATCTCGGTGGTGCCAGTTGTTGAACTGGCCCAGTCTAATTAGCACGTTAACTGTGAACACTCGTGGGGCTTACTAGTTGGTCTTCGGGAGTGTGTGTGTGTGTGTGTGTGTGTGTGTGTGTGTGTGTGTGTGTGTTGGGGCTCAGGGGTACGTTTATCATGTTAAACTCGTCATTTGGCCAACTTCTGCGGACTTTGCAGTTTTGAGTTCTCTGTGATCCCTAAATGCTGCTGAGTTTGAAAATGTCCAGGTCCTTTCACATAAAGGCAACATTACTTGGGCTCCTAGGCTGGCTTTATCTGTCTTGTAAATCATTAGGATTTTGTTAGTCTTGGAGATTTTAGCAGGAATCAAGTGTGTGCTTGTGGAGAGTGTAAGGAAGCAGATTTCCTGTATTATTTTTTTTTCCCCTTCTTGACTGCTGGGACTCATCTTACGGTGAGAGGAAACAGTTCACAGTCTGTTGAAAAGTGCACGAGGGTGGGCTTACGTAGCCCGCACTGGGAACAGGTTGGCACAGAAAAAAGCTCGCTTTTTGAGTACCCTTGTATCCCAACTCCAGGTAACTTAAAAAACACACATCATGTCTATACTGCTGTAATAATGTGAGGGGAATCAGTGAGGGGAAGCTGCAGAGCCTATGGAACTGCATTGTAAAATAAGAATAATAGAAACAGAACATGTCATGTGCCTAGCAAGAATGGCAGAATTAAGAGAAGGCATACATTTCTTGGCAGTTTAACCAAAGGAAATAGACACTGCTACTCATGATATACACCAGGGCTCTTGAAAATTCAATCTGAATTATTTCCAAACTCGTCCATGAGTCGTGTTGTTTGCTAAGTTAGCGAGCAGTATCTCTGGTCTTCCTGAGGCTTTCAGGGCTTGGATGACCTCAGGCCACTTTTGGTGCCTCAGCAGTTGAGTGGCTATTAATATTATCAGTCTTAAGAGAAAACAGTTATTTTTGCTCTTCTGCGTTCGGGACACATGCTTACAGGAAGACCGAGAACAATAACGTTGAATGGTTGCTGGGATGCAGCTGCCAGTCTTCTCATGTTTCAGGGCTGTTTGCATTATCAGAAGAAGCTTACAGCCCGTGTATTTAAAGGTAAAGTGTGAACAATATTAGTGTGTAATTTTAGAATTTGAGCTGGACAGAAAGATGGTACAATCTCAAAACTGTCATTTCACACATGTTGTGTCTGGCTGGTTGGTTACATTAAAGTTAATCTGGTAATGGTCAAATTTTTTTTTTATTTTACATTTTTTTCCCACTCTAAATTTGAATACAATTCTAAATTTGCTTTGTTGTTGTTCTCTTGGTGAACTATTCTGAAAGAAAGGCCTCCCTTTCTTGCAAGTTGTGTTCCTTGGGCTTGACTGGTCAGAATGCGAGTTGTCAGCCCAGTAGCTTGCACCTGTTTACTTTTCAGAGCGGCTCTGCCTGCATGCCTGGAGCCTCCGTGCTGGGAGCCTCCTCCGTGCTGGGAGCTGAGGTGCTTTCTTTGCTTAGGGCTTGTCTTACTCCTCTCAGTCTGTGGATGTTGAGCTCCTGTGGAGGCTCATTGTTACTGAGCCGAGAATGAGAGAAAATGAAACAGTAGCAACTGAGGGAAGTATTAAACTGGAAGCCAGGTGTTTTCCCAGCAGGTGCCTGTTTGGCTGGGCAGTCCATCAAGAGCCCTGGCTGTTTCCTGCCGGCAGGCAGGCAGGCAGGCAGGCAGGCAGGCAGGCAGGCAGGCAGGCAGGCAGGCAGGCAGGTCCTGCTTGGGCCTGTGATGCTCAGCTGTCCCCAGTACTGGCTTCCCTCCCTTCTGTCCCTTCCTGTCCCTTCCCGGGGCTTGACTGGCTTGTTCCTCCTGACTCCCCTTGGTTCTACACTGCTGGACATTTGCTCCGGGTCTGCCAGGTACACAGGTGCCTTCAGACGAACCCTTTCAGTTTCAGTATTTCTCATTTACTCTTCAAATGACAGCAGAAAGCAAGCTGTTTAAAGCACAGGTCTCTGCCCTGCTCCCAGAAATTCTGATCTGCTAGATAAGCGAGCAACAATGCGTTTGTACAGGGCTGAATTCCTCAGACTATCTCTTGAACCTTACCATGCATTCCCTATTTCTCAGCTCTCTCTGCTCCTTAGCAATTCCACTTTAGGATCGCTTAAAGGTACATTTTAATATAAAAAGTGAAGTAGGAATAGTACAGCCTCAAGCAGTTACTTAAAACTTTTTTTTTCCTTTAAGGTTTATTTATTTTTATTGCAAAGTCAGATATACAAAGAGGAGGAGAGCAGAGAGGAAGATCTTCCATCCGATGATTCACTCCCCAAGTGACCGCAATGGCCGGAGCTGCACCAGTCCAAAGCCAGAAGCCTCTTCCAGGTCTCCCACGCAGGTGCAGGGTCCCAAAGCTCTGGGTCGTCCTTGACTGCTTTCCCAGGCCACAAGCAGGGAGCTGGATGGGAAGTGGGGCCACTGGGATTAGAACCGGTGCCCATATGGGATCCTGGCACATTCAAGGCGAGGATTTTAGCTGCTAGGCTGCAGCGTTGGGCTTGAAACTTTTTTTTAAAAAAATACACATTTTGTGTTAATGCAAGACAGAAAGTGTTCTGGCCTTTTGAATCCTTTGAAGAATAATGCAAAATGAAGACTATTCCTTTTGTATGGTTCTTCCCAGAAATAAGTTATGTGGCATATCGTCAGTGGTAACTTTACATTCAATTTAATACTACTAAGGAGGTTTTAGATGAGTTTCATCTTCACAATTTAATCTTATTTCATACTTTATAAACTCATTCCCAACTAGTCTTTCTCAAGTATGATTTAACTACTTTTTATAATACCAGCCATGTGGTATATTATACAGTGCTTGCAGGCCACTGTTTGAGATGCGTGTTGCCTAGTTGGTCTACTCTTTTTTTTTTTCTGTTTCTTATTTTCCGTTTTACTATCTTGTGGGTTTAGATCTCCTAACCTCTTTTGTCCTCCCCCCACCGCCCCGACAAGCTGGTTGGTCTGCCCTTACAGCATCCTGGTGTTTGGTTCTGTCACTAATGCAAGCTTAAGGGTGAAGCTAACCAGGAAGTTTTGTAACTTACTTGAATTAACACAGATAGTAAGTAGCCGAGGTTGGAATTCAGTGCCAACTGACTCAAAAGAGCTCCCAGGAAAACTCATTTCAAACCTTGCTCTGTGATTTGAAATAGGTGTGGCTGTGTCCTTGAAATGCAAGAGCGTTGTTAGCATGCCTTGAGAGGGCCACCTGTGTTCTTGTGTGTTCACACTCTTGCAGTATACACCAGTGTGTGGGGTTAAGATGCACCACGGTGTTGACGCACATGAGCTTCGGGTCTTCAACCCTTACCTTTATCCACCCCATATAAATAAAAAACCTAAATACAGAAGCGCTTTCAGAGAGAAAAGCGTGTGAGATAGTCTCACAGAATAGTTTGTTGTACGTGAGAAACGGCCCCGCTGTTGGTGAGAGTGTGAAAAGCTGGAGGGAAGAAAGGCAGGGGGAGTCGGACGGAGGTCACACTCAGCGAAGGCGAGAGGGGGCTGTGCGTGCACGGCAGACCGCCCGTGCTGAAATAGTGTGTGAACACACGGAGTTGGTTGGCTCGTGTGTCTAACACCCTCGTGTTCCGAGTTCACATTCCATGAGTTTGCAAGTGCTAATTACTAATTCTTAGCTTAGAAATCAGTTATTTTGAATTGGTAATTCGATGTTGAAAATTCAGGATTTACATAAAAAAGATATTTTTCCAAGGGACTTGCACGCTCACTTTTCTTGTTTGAACGTCCAGAGATAATCTTTACTTTCTGTAGATATAGAATGCTTTTTTTTTCAAGATTTATTTATTTATTATTGGAAAGTCAAGTATACAGACAGGAAGACTTTCCATCCTTCAATTTACTCCCCAAGTGACCATAACAGCTGAAGTCGTGCCAATTCAAAGCTAGAAGCCAGGAGCCTCTTCTGTGTCTCCCAAGCGGGTGCAGGGTCCCAAGGCTTTGGGCCGTCCTCCACTGCTTTCCCAGGCCACAGGCAGGGAGCTGGATGGGAAGCAGGGCTGCCGGGATTAGAACCGGTGCCCATATGGGATCCCGGGGCATTCAAGGCGAGGACTTTAGCCACTGGGCCATGCTGCTGGACCCTCTTCTCTGGGTTCTTAGTTTCATGTGTTTGTACACTCGGACTGCTGCTACTCTGTTCTGGTTTTGTTTTGGGGTTTTTCTCTGCGCATCCTTTTGGATAGTTTATAAAGCTGTGGCTTCCAATTTGTTGTTCTGTTCTTTTATAGCATCTAATTTTCTGGTAATTTGATGCATCATGGGATCATTTCAGATACTATATATGTTTTGTCTAGAAGTCTCACTTGT